AGCCGTCTGGCGTTCATTTCAGGAAGCCCGTATCGCCATTTGCCATGCAGACGTTTATCGGAGCGCAGGGCTGAGACAACAGATGGCCAGGGTTTTGTCGGATGTTGGCCGTTCGAATGCAACCACCGGAGGCAAGGACTGGCGGCGTTGTGGTGCACAAGGCTCGCGGAGACAAATTCTTTCAAAGTACGACATATCCTGTGCGTGGCGGCAAGGTACGGCATTGCTTCGGAGCAGGCGGAGTGTGTATTAGACGCATAGGAGGCTAGCGGGATCATCTAGAAAGAATCTAGCATCCTATTCTGGAGCGTGCCTCACCAAGAACACGTTTCTGAAAAGATTATCTGGCCTGGGCGAATGAGATGACTCTTTCATTCTCGTTTATGTATTTACTGCCACCTGCGGTTGTGTGGATGACCTCAGAAGTCCCCGCTCACTCCGTTTCATAAACCGCTGGCTGGTGGGTAAGCGAAAGTTTTCCGCCCCATCGTCCGTTACCTAGTTCCCTCTTCTCTTTTCACTCCTTTTTATTGTTCGTTGACAGCTCTTCTTTTCGACCAGCATTCTTGTCTAGTGGAATCTCGACTTACTTATTCACCACCTCGACCCGCAGCAAAAATGACCGAATATTCGGTCTCCTCAGATGCTATTCGACAGTATAGGTCGGCCCAAGACCGCACCGCCGTTTGGGTCGAAGACTACACACGTAATGGTGCGCAGAATGTCTTGCTGTCGCCTTCCCACCCGCCCTCCGTCCTCAGTGACTCGGACGCCCCGAGCATTGGAGGGTCCAGCGACTCAGATCGGTGGAGCAGTCACTCTCTCCCACCTCGTATGTTGTTACATTGGGACGACGGTAGACCTGATCTACCCATATCACACGAGTACTATCCTGCTCGTTCGAGGACAGTTGTCCCCCCTGCACCCAATCCGTCGCATATGGGGGCGCCGCCGCCTTCTTCCCACTATGGGCATGCGCGTTCGGGGTCATCACCCCTGCCGGTACCACCTCCTCAGAAGTCCAGGCACGGACAGTCGCTCTCATATGTGACCGTACCCTCGCAGTCTGCGACGCCGCGTCCTGCCATGACCCCTCCCCGGTCGCCTGAGAGCATCAGGGTGTTACCTTCTGAGGAATCAGATCCCTCACCCACCAATGTTGTCTCTCGGGAGATGATACCCTCACCCATGCACTCCCGAGCGAGGACTGCTCATGTACCCCACTCAGCGCACTCTAATGCCTCCCGTCACGCCCAGCCAATAATGGCGCCTAGCCCGCGGCATGGGTATTCGCCCTCGAATAATCCCGAGGGTCGTACTCACTCCCCAGCAGTAATGTACTCACAATCACAGCCTCTTCCCCTCTCTACTAGCGGTGGGGCCAGGTTCCTAGAACAACAAGCGGCAGCTCAAGGCCGAATGGGATCCCACCTTCCGTACAATTACTCACCGCCTGCTATCATCTACGCCCCTTCTTCGAAGCACTCTAGGATGCATTATGCACCGCCTGCGATAATTTATTCACCGCCTGGGTCTGCTCGACATGCTGCCCCATCGATGGGTCATAGCCAATCGACTCCTGTACCTGTCTCTCGCGGACCCATGATGCATTCTTCTGTACCTCCGTCGGGGCCTCATCGCTCTCACCATTCACACCATTCACATTCTCATCGCTCACATTCTCGTGCGGGTACCTCCCACTCGTCAGTTATACGCGAAGAGCCAGGAGAAAGTCCTAATCGCAGCCGCAGCAGGGGGCGTCCTAGGGATCCTTCACAGCCCTCCCGTTCGCATCACTCTCGCTCTCGTTCACGCAAGAGTGGAGGGCGGCGCGGCGATGTTGACTTTGAAGACAGCGATGCGGAGAGCTGTAGTTCGGGTGGAACATACTACATTCTGCCAACGCCCGGTCAGAAAGTGCATATCATTGTCAGTGTGATTCACTTTTTCTCTCATCGTTTCGCTAATTTCATTTTAACAACTATAGCCTCCGAACCCTTCACTCCGCACGGCGACGTCGACGACAAAGTCCGCTCATTCGCCGCACGAACCCAAAAAGCCTTTCTTCCAGCGGATCTTCCATATCCCGAGGTTAACTCCTTCAGTCTCCTCTGTTGGTTCCAAAGGCAGTGGACGGAGACTCCAGCGAAGACACACGATTGGAGGAGCTCAGCTTCAACGCGAGCTCGCAAGATGAATTGCATACAAGATTCCTTTCAAGTAGTATAACGAACGATCAATACCAAGTTGGCTCTGTTACCCCGGTTTCCACTAGATGTTTCTCTTTTTGTCCTTCATTGCTGTCTCTTCTCCCGCTTGTTCTTCTCTTTCTCTTCGAGTTTACACAAGTGTTTTCCGTTACCGTTCTCTCGTGGTACTGCTTCCAGTCGGACTTCTCGCCTCACCTGTATCACCACCCGTCTATCATTGTACCATACTCATTCATTCGTAGTTGACTTGTACTCTCAGACTGTAGCATCAATGCGATGTTTACCATTAGCTAACTAGACCACGGGTCTGTTTCGACGTACTTGCGCGCTGACAAAAACATACTCTGTGCTGATATCTTGGGTTAGTGCTATATGATCATATAAGCGCGTTGTTGTACATGTTGTCAGTGCTATGTGACATAGGATGTTAATAGATTGAGAATAAAAAGGAATTGCCAGCGTAAATGCTGGTATGATATCAATTTGCCAGCCTTGCAATACGTACCCATCCTCACTCATCTGCTTCAGGCTGAGGTATCTCAGTATGAGGCACCGCAGGAGGGACTTCCATCATCCCATCCAGCCAACTTACAACCTTCTCCCTAGACCTGTAGAACGCCGATATACTCTCGACCATCTCTACATCTCGATCTCCATACTCTTCTCTCACTGACCTGCTAGCATCCACGCGACACGTAGAAGGAGCAATGGGCAAGAGGGAACTTGCCAGGGGACTCCGGAGACCAAAGCCAGCCGTGCGAGCTGTCCGAGGTGTCGAGGCGACCGACAAGTTGTGTCGTGATTTTCTACGTGATGCCAATGAATGTGGAAGCGCAGAGGATGCAGAGCGCGAGATGGGTTTTACTAGTTTGGGGATCGTGATTGGGGGTGGGATGTGGCGGCGTCGTTTGACAGGACGTTCAGATGGCAGAACGATGGTCAGTCCGAGATTAGGATGTTCTTCAGTCACGTATTGCGACTTGTCGAACATGTCTAAGGTCGATGTCTCCCCTGAGGACAGATACGTTCCTCGAGCTGACAGTAAATCTGGTCCGCTGGAGAAGGGGCTGTTGAGATCCGATCGTCCATAGGTGCTTTGTACTGAAGCAAAAGAAGGGGTGGGAGGAGAGAGGTAGCCAGCGGAATGATACGCGGGCATCTCTTCAATCTCCATGGTTGTTGTGGCGGGCTCACTTGGCCCGTCGGAAACGATGTCCATAAGCTCACCACGGTTGTCCGCCACGTCATTTCCAAAATCCGCGTATTGAGCAAGACATTGTTCGCTTTTAATTTCTTATGTTGAGTATCTATCTGAGCGATGAAATTAAATTTCGAGCGTACCACTTCAAGCCATCGTAAAGATCTTCCGAGACTCGGTCATCGTTGCCTAGGTATTCGTTTAAGGTGCCGCATAACACGCAACTATATAAAGTTGGGCCAGTTGGTATCTCGAGATCTTCCCGTTCATCAGGGAGCTCAACCTCCGTCGAGCGAGGGGAGGCCTCCGAGAGATCTTCTAGATGATCTCGCCTGCTCCAAGTACGCTTATGTGTTGGCTACAATCCTCATTTCAGCACTGTGGCGGGAGCCCGGGAGAACCTGGAACGTACCATGGTAAGCCAATGTCGCAAGGGAATAGGGAGGAAGAGGCAACACGGAGGTGAGCGGGTCCTTATACGATAAGAAGACAAACAGCAGTAGCATCAATCAGAACGTATAAGGGGGAAAGAGGGAGTACTCACAACACTCCACTAATGCGGTGAAGCGAAACAATGACAATGACTTATTGTCACGGTAGTCATGCCACCTGCAGGGTCAGTGCAGGGTCCATCGTCTGTTGTATTCTGATATACTACACCCTTTCGGGAGTTGAGTAAGTCTGTATTAGTCGGTGTCCGGAAAACCGTTCTTCGAAAACAACATTCCAGTCATAGCTACTGGAGGAAAGCGTCGGACTTCCGCAGTATGCCAAATTGTTTAGTACATAACGGCAAAAAATAAGCAATACTTACACAAATAACAGGGAAAGGACGGGGCGCGAACACCATGCGAGTGCAAAGGGAAATCACATTTGGGGGGATCGAGAAACTTGGTACTTACAGTACCACGCCGAGACTCGAGTGGATTAGTCTCGGTTACATACGCTATACAACAGACTACCATAAATGGTAGCCAACACCAAATATGGGCGAAGCGCTTGACAGCGGCGTTCGCAAAAGTGTTGTATAGCGTCTGGTGACTTTCGTCCGAGCGGGTGTAGGTCCACCTTTCTGAGCGAACCAGCTGCCCCTGCGCCTCAGAAAAAATGCTGCAACTCAGGAAGTGTTGTCATATGCTAACTCTCGAATCTTTTTGCACCTATGTCATGACGAGGGTGGCTTTGAACGTGTTCAGAATCGTCAATGAGCCGCGGCGCTCAAGCAGGCGTTCAGCTACTCGAATGCAAAAAGTTTGAGGCTTGAGGCACAAAAAATCAACAAAATGTACTACGTTTCTGCTAGATTCTATACAAGATTTACTGGCTATAAGAGACTATCAGTACGTGAGGGTGCTGAGCAGGAGAGGTGGAAGGGGGGTCTACACCCGATCGGACGAAAGTCACCAGACGTTTCAGCAAGCTCTGTGCAGACGTGTTCGTCTGGATCTGTCCATTTATGGTAGCTCCTTCCTGAAACGGATGGTTCACGAGACTACGAGTGGATGACAGGCTGTCTCAGCCTTCAGGCTGAATTCATAATATGCAACCTAAGGAAGCAACGAGGAAGAGTTCCAAAAAGTTTTCTAAAAGACTCTCTGCCTGGGAGTCGAACCCAGCTTTCGCGCGGTCGTTCTGCTCGAATGACAGGCGCGTGTACTAACCGATATACTACACCGGTCCTCGTGAAAGTGCCGAAAAAGCGCGGACCGCCATCGGTCGGGAGCCGCGCCCCAGTTAGGTTGCCACCGACGACAGATCGGCTGAGCTCAGAGAAAAAACGAATATCACCTGTTCCTGATTTCAGCTACGTTCCCCGGTCTCTGACTGAAGTAATGGCTCCATAAGATCACCGGTCGCCTTACCATTTGCTGACGGGCTTACCTTGACATTTCAACATTTGCCCACTTGGAGTGAACCAGCATATGTGGTCATCCGATGCTGGCAGGACTGTTGACCGTGTATAATGATACAGCCTTTGACTCCTCATCTAACAAATTCATGCTTCTGTTGCCGGCAGCTCACAATGTTCGCGTTGAATGCAGGAAAGATTTGGATTCAATTAAGGACAGTGCAAGAAACTAGGTAATATAGACCGTCTATGCAGGCAGCACAATGATTAAAGGGCGTATAAAGTGTTACATACACACGCGGACAAGAAGTTGCCAAGAACACACAGGTTTAGACCGAGGTAACTACTAAGTCGCTAACTCAACTTGATCTTCACAAACGAAATCTCCTGCCAACGCCTTCTCCGTGACACGATGTTGGCGAGTGTTCATCTGACGGGTGCTTGCCAGACCCTCGAGAGTATTCATAGTCATAAGATTGGTACCTGGGTATTTCTGTATGTCTGCTCGTAGCTTTGCCTTGAAGCCGCTGTCGTATTTTCAGTCAGCCAATGATTTTCCACAGATATCGTATGCAACCCGCAAACTCAGAGATGCACTCACTTATGAATCTTCCGTGCATCTGGTTCAGACCGGATCTGTTGTAGCCTCTGGTCAACTACTTGCCAATATTTACCACGATACTTCGGGTGAGCCTCCACCTCATTCTTGAGTAGCACAAATCGCTGCAACATGGGCCCCAGTATTACTATCAGTTGTTGCCTTCGGGTTCGTCTACAAAGATCACATACCAAGTATGCAAGTCGTGCGCACAACTCAAGTGTAACAACAGAATCACTTGCATTGTGAATCTGAATGACGGCCTGGGCGAGCTCCAGAATATCTTGGCAGTTCGTATTTGGTTGTGTGGGATCAGGTCCGCTGTCACCGATCGACTTGGAGATCTGGAAAGGACGAAGTTAGCCTGGTTGAAGCGACATTGCAACAATAAATCAGCGTACTTACCGCCGTCTTGAGAGAGGCTCGGCGATCAGTCAAACGCTGACGGATACGCTCCTCGACAATGTCGTTCTTGTACTTGTCATCGCGAACCTCACTCGTGTATCCCCAAGACGGATGCTTCTCCAAGATGCTCTGTTCAAATTCACGTTAAATATCCAGGCTTGGAAGCAGAGTACTCACCGTGAGTGCCTTGATAGGGCCATTCTTGTTTCTGACATATACGCAGCACTTTGGTGACGTGATGATTAAGAAGGTATATAGTTCAATCTTATTCTATCAAGCTGTAAGTTGCGGCCAACTGAAGTCCCAGTTGTAAGCTTACATAGAGGTTGGACGGTAGTTTCCACTGTGCATCTGGAGGGTTGATTGCATCAAGCCGCTCAGTGTTCTTGAGAAGTTGGGCACCAATCCACAGAATGCGAGCAGTGTCGGAGTCGAACTGAAAATGAGCCGAAGTTAGCAGTCAAATGCCGAAGGGCATGATGCCATGTATTGCAAATGCGGACGACGTTACCGAAGCGATTTTTTTGAGCTCTTCTTGATGTTCAGTCTTTAGACGAACCTGACGACCGACGGCATTTGCAAATTGCAATGCGTCTTCTGTAGCGGGTCTCTTGTTTGACAGGCCAGTTTGAACAACTGCGCCGCTAGCTTCATTTTCGTTCTGGTAGAATTCCGGCGACTGACTTGAAGGCCCCGCTGGTGCTGGACTTGAAGCTCGGGGAGAGGACGTCGGCAGATCCTCGTCCTGAGGAGAAAAAAAGTCATCGTCAGATGCGAGCTCGTCATGGAACTCTGCTCCCCGATGTGGGGCCGGGCTGTGATTGTGAACCTCAGGTCGAGCCACATTATGCGCAGGTGAGTCACAGTCAGACATAGCTTTGAAAGAGAATGAGAGGAGAAACGAGAAAAAAATGAGAGTGTTGTAGAGGGGGGAGAAGCAAAACAAGCAGCGACGTGGCAAGCTGCTGACAACTTCCCATTGTGGGTTCCGACAAATGTTTGACGTTTGAGTGGGTGCGATCGAAAGGGGTCATGCTTGCGATCGTGAAACCCCATATCCAGATGAGGAGAACTCGAGTTTGAACATACCAAACATATTGATTGCAGCTTGACAAGTTGCAGCCCCTTTCGGCGTTCGTCCTTCAAGTCAGATGGCTCCGGAACGAACAATTTTGTGGACTGGTGAGCCTGAGATATTGGAGTTGTGGAGATATGACTTACATATTGCAGATTTTGTTGAGATTTCCGGCAACACAACACATGTCAAATGTGTTCCATGTTCCACCCGCTTGCAAAAGGACCATCTGATAAAGAGGTCTGGCCTAAAACAGCATCTGAACCAGCAGAAACACATATCGTCTCTGGACCATGAGAGGAACAAACGTCCAGATGCAGAAGCTGTTGCTCCTGGTGCCAATCGTAACCTGTCAAATGTAGGCTTTCAAGTCGAGTCTCCCCTGCGCGCTGCAAGTCTACAACCCATAGCAGACTCTGAGCTGGATCAATGCCACAAACCCGGTCAAAGCTGCATGACAGATCTCGAACGTACTTCGAGTCTGGGCAACGCTGACAATCCGTTCATGAATCTATTTGTGGATGAGGATTCCGGCTTGTTTATTGATGATGACGGAGAACCTACAATTGCGTTTACTGCGGGCGAGCCGTCCGTTGATCCTCGTATGGAAGGAGTAGCAGCGCAGCTTCATGATTTGATTCCCGGGCAGAATTCTGAACCAGACTCGCTGGGCCTATCTGCTGGTGACTTCGACCTCGAGTTGGAGGATCATGATTTTGCGACTGGGGACTTGGAACTCCTTCAAGAGACACTTGACCACAACCAGGAGCATGCTTTCAACGATGGAGCGGTCCCTACCAGTGGAAGACCATCTGAGTCAGATATATTCATGGCAGATACTGAAGCCATGCTGCAAGACCTTGGTATGTCATTGCAGCCTTCGGAGACTTACTCGTGCACCAAACGAGATTAAATATTGAAATTAGGTTTTGATGAAGAGTCTGATGAAGAGAATATCTTCGACGACCACATCAAGACCGTGCCTGATGCTGATTGGGACCCTCATGGCTCTAAAGTTGTGCGTGTCTGAGTCAGCCATCTCTCCGAGTCATATGCAGTCATAGCTCATATTGAACATGCCTTAGACATTTCTGCTCGATATGCTGGACAATTTACCAAGGTTAAGGTTGTCCGACGAGCATCTGAAGATGTTCATATGGGTACTGAAGGAGCTGGAAGTTGCGGGTGTGCCGAGCTTCTTTGCACTTCGGAAGAAGCAAGCAGAAATCAAAGCAAATATGAAGGTCAAAAGCACGCACCATGTCTCAGCCATGAAAAATGAGTTCTATGTGAACAGTGTTGCGCAGAGTATTCGCTTGGTATGTGACCAACTCAGGATCTCCAACTCCGAGGGACTAAACACACTGTAGGATCTCGAGAATCCACTTGTTCGCCAGCATATGAAACTGTACCCTGACCAAAATATGAAAGTTCGCGAGGTAATGGATGCTCGGAAGCTGTTTCCGAAGGTGGAAGAGTTATGGCAGACAGATCTCGATCTTCTACCGCAGATGTGGGCTGACCTGAAACATTCGCCATACCGTCACTACTATATCCGAGAACCTGCGCAACTAAATGATGGAAGCTATGTTGCACCGCTGCGCTGGTATACGCAAGAAAACAAGACATACCTCCATGCCGTTCAGCTTATATACAACCATGAGGTGCGGATTCGACAACATCCAATGCAATCGCTACATCACAAGGCTAAATGTTTCGTCCTTAGGAGCAGCAATTTGAGGCCAGAAACTCGGCAGCTCCTGTAACGATACAAGCTTGCGACTTGATAGCAAATGCACCCGACCTACAGGCCACGGGACACCGCCTCTTGTTCAAGGGTGAGACATTTTCTCCGCGGTTGCCCAGTTGATGTCCGTCTGACTGTCACGCTCGAAAACCTGAAAGAATCAACCCAGTGGCAGCTGGCGTTCCCCCACCCTGTTCGCGAGATTGCCAAAGGGCGAATGGCTGTAACGGTCAATCTGATGATATGGAGCGACGATGTATCAGGGAATGTCAGCAAACAATACAATGCGCATACAAACACATATGTAGCAAACCTGAACTTACCTCATGAAAAGCTCAATCAGGAGTACTTCGTACATTTTCATTCAACATCCCAGTTTGCATCATCGTCGGAACAGATTGCAGCACTCACAGAGGGAATGTCAGGCTGAGTCCATACAAATTCAAATCAGAGTTGTAGAGCTGACTCGAGCCCTTGGATACAGTGGCCGGAATAGATGGCATGAAGCCTACGATAGTAAGCTCCGCCAAGAAATTGTGTACCGCGTTGTTCCACGGACGAAAACCGGGGATAACCCTCAGCAATCAGAAGACTGCTCACACATTGGGTTGAATGGCAATTATCCCTGTCGAAGGTGCAAAGTGGGCGGCACTCACACTGAAAAAGAGAGCAACGAAGGCTATGAACAGTTCTTTGCAGTAGGTCGCGAAATTGTCATAGATATTTGTGCACTGATGAACATTTGCGTTCTTGCCCAGCCAAGTGTCAGTCGGACGGCAACTGAAACTGTTCGTGAGATAAACTCTCAGCTGCTCCATGCATGTCTTGGCGTTCAGGAGACTGTGGATGCAATGCAGTCAGAGAAGGGAATCAAGGACAAGATCGCGCAATATTGGATTGAGATTCTCCTGACCAAAGCCCGAGAACAACAGCATGCAAGATTGATAAATCCCCAGACAAAAGATCAATGTTTGAAAGGGAGTAACCGGCCAAAGGGTGCTGCG